AATAATCGATTAAACTTGTTACATTTTAGACATCAAAACATATACCTCTAGTTAAAATTCAATTCAATATCTGGGCAATGAGATAGAAAATAATGACGTGTGAACTATTTCTCACAATGTGCAATAAAATGTTGCCAGCTGTCCATTTTGTTCGTAATGCGAGGGGTCAAACTGGTATTTTTACACTTGACCCGCACACCAATACCTGTCTAGACAGTATTCGGGAATTATTATTACTTTTAATCGCTGTTAGGGGTGACCAGTTCGTTCGAACCCCTATTTTGCAAATATTTGTTTACGATTCTCGAAAATTGTTTTAGATTTTTAAAGATTTAGTGATCGAAAATTTTATAGTAACAGAATTTTAATTCAACTTTGTTACAGAAATAACTATACTAAATAAGCCTGTTCAATGAAAAAGGATTAAATTCTTATTTCTTATTTATTTAAATAGGTATACCAACAGCTTCTGTATACATAGTATTAAGAGATAATAAAGGTAACAATAGGTATTAGATTAAACAAAAAATCGATTCGTATCTTAGCCTTACATTACCTATTATTTGAAAGTCCTTCAAAAATTAATATCTTAACAAACACTTAACCAACATCTAAGTACTAAAGACACATTATAACTACGTCACCTGCGTTCCGTAGCCTCGCTTTTACCGCGGAAATGTCGATGCACGTCCGACAACAAAGTTAGCGCGGTTGTCCCAAGCAGGAAACTGTGACGTCACGATACATATGTACCTACTAGTACGTATACAGCCATTAGCGCCCTTTGTATTAACTTTTTAAACTCCAGGGTACTGGATGAGGCAACGGCGCAAGTTTTTGCAGCCATATGTACGGGTATTACGCCTTTTTAAGCTTATTTCCTTTTTAAAGCTCTTTGCATATGTGTTCGGAGTTACTGTAATAATCAAACGGCACCAGTTTAATACTTTGAAATAGAAATCGTAATTCTCTCTTTATAGCCCTTAGAGGAAATATAAAGATTAATATCTACTATTTTTAATTTTATTGAAACAGAAAACATGATCCACATCTCTTGTTAATTTGGTGATTACAAATTCGGACTTCATTACAGGCAAACACTTTAATAAAGATTTCTATCGGGTTCTTCGATTTATTATTTTTCAGCAAGTACAAAATTTGGAATTGTCGCAGGCAGGTGTATAATTTAACATAACATCACGCCTTTTTATCCTCGACGGGGTAGAGATGCAAATTACGGCACCGAATGCTACTATACAATGTACTTTTCACTATTCATGTTATGAGTCCCATGTAATAGGGAGTGAGCCTATTGCCATATACCGGGCACAATTCCAGACTCCGTGCTACTACTGGGAATTTAAATCAAATGAATTATTATATGTTATAGTTTATGTATCTTCACAATATTATAACCTCCTTATTAAATTTTGCTGTACCTACTAAGTAATAGCGCAACCGATCAGTTGATAAGTGCCGAATGTTAGTTAGTGACAGAAATAGGGCAGCGATAACAAGACGACACTCCGACATCACTGCAACCTACATTCTGACACAGATGTTATTACAAACGAAATGACGGCTTACTGCTAATAATAATAAAGTAAATTGGGTACTGATAATAAGATTCTATTATATTAAAATACTGTTAGTTTTTTATAAGATCTACACATGTATAAATGACTGCCTCGTTGGCCGAGTGGTCGCAAATGCGACTGCCAGGCAAGGGGTCTCGGGTTCTATTCCCGGGTCGGGCAAAGTATTACAGGGTTTTAAAAAAATTCTCAGTAGTGACACGGAGTCTGGAATTGTACCCGGTATATGACAATAGGCTCACCCCGTATTACATGGTACTCGTAACATAAACAGTGAAAAGTGGGTGTTACATTGTACAGTGGCATAATGTACACCTCTGCCTACCCGTGGGGATACAAGGCGTGATGTTATGTTATGTTATTATGTTATGTATAAATCTCAAGCTTTTATAGTTAGGTGAGAAACTTAGATATCGCGATGATGGTACGTCACTATAAAAACTAAGTGTGTTGATAAGTACATACATACATAACTTCACGCCTGTCTCCCATGGGGGTAGGCAGAGACTAAGGAACTAACTTCTTGATAAGTAGTAAATATAATTGAATTTAAAAGGATGTTTCGTGTGTTTTAAAAGTCGACATTTTTTGTCATGTTTCAAAGAGGCACGAGTGTTCAATACGCTCAGTAAAAAGCCTAATACTGACCTCTGTTATAAACCCCACTGCGGTTTTAGGGTCATTAAGGCACCATTCGGTACCCTGTCATCGAAAATTGAAGGCTTCGACCACTTGTCATAATGCTTCGTGTCCATGTTTTTGACAATTATATTGTGGTACTTATAATATACCACAAAACCAACCTGTTTTCTAGACAGTAAAGGTGCGTTCGGACCTGACGAATATCCTGGTTCATCGCTCGTATTTTGGCCTCAATCCTTTCTTATCGAAAAAACCATTGAGTAACAAACAGAATTATGAAAGACTTCTTGTATTCTTTTGACTGCACAGTTGGTGCGGTGGCTGGGCAACTGGCTGCCGCGCAACGTGTCACGGGTTCGATTCCCGCACGGAACAGCTATTTGTGTGATCCACAGACTGTTGTTCCGGGTCTAGGTGTGATGTGTATGTGAACATGTATATATTTGTAAAAACCTACGACACAGGAGAAAATCTTAGTGTGGAACTACGTTTTTATTAAAAAAAAGAAAAGGATTAATAAACTTTACCAACCCTTTCGAAAACATTATACATTAAAACACTACATATCTTGTTTTTCGTTAACTGATAGTAATATCGATCGGGGAACGATAACACAACCCATCATCAGCGTAATTCATAACTTGTTATAAGTGGTTAAATCTAATTTGTCAACATTTGTTTTTCAATAGAATAAGGCTTATAATATTGTATTAAAAACAAATATAAACGTTTTAAGTGAGTGGGCAGTGAGTCTTAAATCTCTAATTATTCTACTGCAGTTTACGGTACAGAGGCTGGGTAGAATAAATCAAATATAATAGACCTTATCTACAGTCAACAATGTAAGCACTAAAGGTCTAGAATACTAAATCTTCCACGAATTATATCTTGAATCCCGACCCAAACGCTGTGCGACAGTTCCACCAGACGATAGAATATTCATTAATTGTTTTCATTCAGAATAATTTCATGTGACCACCTATTTATTTCTCGTTCAATTGTACTATAAGGAAATATATTTTAAAAATTATCTTACATACAAAGTCAAAAAGTAATAGTTAGTCTAGTCTACTCTAGTCACCGTCTCCTGAATCCCCGAACCCTCCACAATCCTCAAATTCCCAATTCCCAAAAGGCCGGTAACGCACTTGTAACGCCTTGGTGTTTCGAGTGTCCATGGGCGGCGCCGATTGATTACCATCAGGTGATCCGTCTGATAGTTTACCAGCTAATGCTATAAAAAAAATTGACAGAATTCCTAATACATAATTACCTAATTCTCAATATTAATTACCAGCAGTCTATACGCGCCTCTGGCTATTACCAACAGGCAGTTAAAAATTGCGTAATCAGATAATCACAACAATAAGTGTCATAATTGCATAGCAACCTTAAGTTGCATATTTTTGTAACATAGTACGACTACAAAGTTCGTAACAAACATTTTAATTCGCTCATTTTTTCGTAAAGTTAAACATTTGTGGTCGGCTATACATCTGGCTTAGTAATTAGCGAAGTTTCTCGACTGTTCGGCGGACACTCCGAGCTTAGTACGTCGCTTGGTACATGTACGAGTACATAGATAATACGTACAGATACCAGCATGTCATCCTACTCGAATTTGTTAAACTGTTTTCAATTTTAATGTTCTGAAATAGAGTCAATAATCTATTACAGATGGTTTTGTCTGCTACACTATGTGTGCACATCAACAATATCTGTTTATTTTTGCCAAAAACTAATTCTATTAGGCTTAAGTGATACTACCGTGCACTGCCTCGTTCGCCGAGTGGTTGCAAGTGCGATTGCCGGGTCTCGGGTTCGATTCCCGAGTCGGGCAAAGTATTACTAGGTTTTTAAAAATTCTCAGTAGTAGCACGGAGTCTGAAATTGACCACGGTATATGGCAATAGGTTCACTCTCTATTACATAGGACTCATAACATAAATAGTGAAAAGTGGGTGTTACATTAAACAGTGGCATAATGTGCACTTCTGCCTACCCTTTCGGGGATAAAAGGCGTGATGTTATGTTTATTATGTGATACTACAGTGTTACTATAATCAAGTTTTCGAAAAATAATCTTATCTTTACAATGATCATGATTTATAGTTCCACTTAGTTTACTTGATGTTCTGATTTTGCCAACAAATATATTTGAAAATGTAGACTTCGTTAGAGAAATAGACAAAAGTTATACCTACACAATTTCATTTAATAAGTAGGATAATTGTTCCTTTTTTTTCTTAATACCTTCAAGCACGTCTAAGTGCCTAGCAAATGACGATAAGTATTCAACAAGTATGTTTACTCGCAAGATACAATTATAAGTGTTTTGTTTTTCTTTCCAGTCAGACGTAATGATTACAAAAATGAGAGCCAATTTTGTTCTTATTCCATGAGTAACACTTAAAGTTCTTACAGTATTTTTCCAATAACAAACAAAACACTCATAGGAAAATTTTACTTTCCACAATAAACTCAACATTGTAAGTCTTCTAGATGATACACTTGTTCATGTTTAGTGCATTCTTCACAACTCAGCGTGTGAGAATACTTTATCAAGTTATGCGGAGTACTGACGACTCAGGGAAGCCGGGAACATGGCGCCGAGCGAATTAATTATACGGGTTCTTACTGCCAAGCATGAGGATAGTTTACAAGTAGAACAGTCTATCTAAACTGAACTATTGTCTAGGAACACAGTTTGTATATAACGAGGTATATTTAAATAACAAATAACTACATGTTATTTCTGTGCAGTGCTTGCGGGAGAGACCACGGAGCTCTCGAGCCGCGCCTCGCTCGCTGAACCCACGCCTACTAAATTTCCAAGTACGTCTTCTAATAATAAATAAACAAAACGCTACAATAAGATCTCGAAGCAGAAAAATGATAAGAAAACATCGGAAGAAAATGTTCTCAAATCATGGCTACAAATTGGTAAAACACTGAAATACAAAATTATACGCTGTAGGAAAAATATTCATACAATATTGCCATAATCTAATTTGAAAGACAATCATCATACTACAATTGGCAAACATAATACATGCAATCCTTCACCGTCATCATTTGTGTTTTCACGTGTGTCTCATGTACCTTGTCGAGAGATCTTATTCTAGCGGCACATTGTCTTGTCACCCGTTTGCAACACTGCACGAGTATATATACCCAGCACAAACCAGCCACTGCCAACCCGTTATATACCCGTGACAATTGCCGAGTGAGCCGAAAAGTCCACATCGAATAAAATTTCATTCGCCAAATTGATTCCAAGGCACGATTTTTTACTCAGCAAATAAAACTGAAATTGAAACGAAACAGAAAGTGTGGACAGTCGGCAAATGGGAAAACATAATAACTGGCGTGTTTCCAATAAGTGCAACACCCTGGCACAATGTAGATCCCTATCACTGCCTCCCCATTTTCGATAAAATACTTTTATTTACCTCCATTCCGCTGTCAGCTCCAACCGAAACGCGATTTCAAAACGATCCCATTGTATAGATGTGTTTTTGTTTTGGTGTGATGCCCGAGCATGTAATGTGTATTTGTTAGTAATATCATCATGAATGATTAATTTTAAGAAATACGAAACTAGATACAACATATACTTACATGTCTATTTACCAATAGTCTTAATCGGTAAAACTAGTCTATCATTAAAGTTAAACGTATTTAAAACCTCCCATTGTCGTCTACCACCGACTACCCAACATAATTGTTCTTCAATTTAGATAGGAATCTGAGATCACAATCTAAGCCTAAAAGCGGTAGTGCCTTTGTCTAAACGTTTAACAAAAATCCGTCTAATGAAGTTCTTAATCGAGGTTTGCCGACAAGGAAACTTTTAATGGGCCCCGCTAACTGCCAGCAATGGAAAGGAGCGAGACTTGAACCGCAACCCGACCTGAACGTGGCAAGTGTTTGCGACATTTACCAAATGACTTCAACTCGGTTGCTATCCGACACTATTCCGAACAAAAGCTTGGCTTGCGTACAAAACATGGGCGAGTTAATAGTTTCACTTGACAGTATTGTTCATTGTGTTCGTAATAAGGGTTAAATTGGATTTGAAGATTTCGAAACAACAACAATATAAGCATCACTATACAGCAAGAACATTCTTTAAATATAAAAACATTCAAAACTACAAATTCCGAACATCTCGCATTACACAAATCTCAATAAAAAGTCAATTAATATAGCAAAGGAAACGAGGGCAAAATGAAAAAGGAAAGTGGAAATTAATCAGCACGAAGTAGTCTCAGTGAACATGGCTCAGTAGCTGGAAGCGATATAACAATGTACGTACTTTGGACATTTAACAAAGAATAAGCATTCTGTATACGTCTCCGTCGCTTTACCCAGCCAGTCGTGAACATGCTTTTGAGTTCCACATTCAAGAGAAAGCAGTTCTTACCTGCTAGCCCGGAGCTCCGTCGCTAAAGACGGCTATTTTTGTCCTAAATCTTTACAGGTCTAGGTTTTTAGGTGAGAAGGTAAAGTTTCTTCACTATGTACATGTTATTTTAACACCTTTTTGAACGTTGATTAAGTTTGAGTTTAGGTTAGGTTAGGTTTGATGCTTAGTTTTTTTAGCTACATAATATAATTAGAAATGAGGCAATCATGAAATAAAGAGAAGAATATCATCATCAAATATCATTTTACATACAATGAAATATATTGTGGATGACTGCCTCGTTGGCCGAGTGGTCACAAGTGCGGCAAGGTGTCTCGGGTTCGATTCCCGGGTCGGGCAAAGTATTACTGAGTTTTTTTGAAAAAATCTCAGTCCTAGCACGGAGTCTGGACTTGTGCCCGGTAAATGACAATAGGCTCACCCCCTATTACATGGGACTCATAACATAAATAATGAAAAGTGGGTGTTACATTGTACAGTGGCATTAAGTGCCGTAATCTACACCTCTGCCTACCCCATCGGGGATAAAAGGTGTAATGTTATGATGATGATGAAAATATATACAAAAATAAAATCCGATATTATTATATTTAAGCCGCCCCTATGAGTAAAATACGAAACAAATAACAAAGCCTTTTCTTTCCCCACAAATGTTTATCAATGTTGTTTCTACATATGACTCATTTTTAAATGAATAAAGCTTACTTCCCACACGTTATCTCGGTTTTTCAGGAACGTACGTAGGGGTTAAACAAAGCAGACATTTTGAGGGCGCAGTCCTTTAACGTTGTTAGCTGCCGGTGACATTTTTATTGCGAGAACGTGAGGCATAGAGCTACTCATACTAAGATAATATCATTAAATATAAATACAAAGACTATACTTTAATAAATCCTCATTTAAATTTAAAATTATACGTATATTGAAATTGAAAAATTTGCTCAACAAAACTTAAAAAGCTGTATAGCGTAACGCCCGTAGTCAAAGTGCTACGAAATCGTAGTAGGCGTAGCACTGTGCTACGGGCATCTACGCCAATGGTCGCGCACCCGGGACACGCAAGCATCTGGGACTTGGAGATTTTGTTATTAACAAAATCTCATTGATTATGATGGGATATTTATTGCTTATTGGTTTAAACTTAACTGTGCTAGATTAATAATATAATGAATAAATATTTTGTCATTTTTAGTCAGTATGACTATGGTGACCAACGCTACGAATATTAAACGATAATTTAATGTGTAACAGGTATTTAATTTTAATTAAAACATCTTGTGTTAATCATCACGCAAATGGCAACGAATAATCCAGCGTATTTGATTTTAGTAATTGCGGAGTTGAATTGAGGGTTCATTTTCCCATGTTTGATTAAGTGCACAATTAATCGACAAGGGATTTAATCAGTAAGGTGCTTAGTAATTCAATTATGATGGCTTTATGTAAACTGTAACTTTCAGTGCAGTAATCATGTGTATTGACATGGTTGAGTACTTTTTTAACATGTATTAAATATGCGATCTGTCTACGTGGCAGCAGCAAACTCTATGCAAAAATATGTAGTAGAAATTAATGTTAATAGTTTTGGAATAAAATGTTAACTTAAGTCGTGTTCAAAAAAGAAATTCATTAAAAAAAGGGTTGCTACGACAGCTCTTATTGAGTTTAAACCACAACAAAGAGTAGTCTATATACCGTCACACTGTTTACAATCAACGCGATCAAAACCTTAAGACGACCAAACATCAACCTTTGATCCTAACATGAATTATTTTTTATAGAGTGCGACTTCACGTTCGTGAGCCGCGCCGGCGTCACCAACGGCACGTTTCATGCGCCCGAGCTGATCAACCCCAACAACCAGAGCCGCCAGTGCCTCTACACGTTCCTGGCCCTGCCAGGCCAGCGTGTGCTCGTCGAGTTCCGCACCTTCGACCTCCGGGGAAAACCGCCAGAGTATGTTACTATAGTCACTTTATATTAATCTTGCTTGCTCCTAGTAAGGAATACTTTTTAAGTTACGTCTATTAGACGTAAGAAAAGTGTTTTGAGAGACTCAATATAATTACTTCAAGTTTGGTGCAGTGGCTAAAATTAGTAAAAAGAAAACACTAGACCTCAGAGCGCCAATATGTAGATTCCAGACCCATTATTTTTTTGAGTACGTACAATGTACATATATAACTAAGAATTACATATAAAGCCACTGGAAACTTACTTATTTCATAAAATAATCAGTTATTTCACTTACTGTCTGCCTCATTGGCCGAGTGGTCGCAAGTTCGACTGCCGGGCAAGGGGTCTCGGGTTCGATTTCCGGGTCGGGCAAAGTATAACTGGGTTTTTCAAAAAATTCACAGTAGTAGCACGGCATCTGGAAATGTGCCCGGTATAAGGTAATAGGCTCACCCCCTATTACATGGGATTCATAACATAAATAGTGAAAAGTGGGTGTTACATTGTACAGTGGCATAATGTCCACCTCTGCCTACCCCTTCGGGGATAAAGGGCGTGATGTTATGTTATTTCACTTAATACATTAACAAAAACAGTAAATAAACAATTTCATTAAAACACAGACCAACTTTGTTAACTATTTGAAGCAAAATCAATAAAGTAAGACTTGAACCTCTTCGAATCAATTTGTAAGTTTAGTTCGAAACCAGAAGTTGTCAAGTTGGAGTATTTCAATCAGGAACTTCAACAAAACAAATCCAATAGACCGCAGTTCACATGTGCAGCTACACGTACAAAGAAGTGTGTCTATGTATTAGAGTTCAGTTAAACGGTGGTTGAGATCATAACACATTGTTATTTGACTTTATCGCTCACTTATTTGTTGTTTTCCAGTGGAGCTGCCGTGGGAGAACTACCAGCGTAAGTATCCTTATCCCTTTCACCCTTCCCCCATTACTCGGGACACAAACATGTTTTCTACCAATACTATTATTTATGTGCATAAGTATACATTTAGGAATTAGGTCAAACACTTCCGTGAAGGGAGAACCTTGACTGGATAAAGTTTGTTTGATGTATTCTGCTAAACTCTAGATATTCATTTCGTTGATGAATTTATGATCTATTTAATATTAACTCAAGGACTATTGTTGTAAGTAGTAATTTACTGTTTGTTATTACAACAAATAATTAAGTATTCGTCTAATAATAAGTACAATGTATGACATCATTCATCGTTCAGCCTTATTGTAGCTACAAAAAGGGCCCTAGGAATAGGAATCCTTTACTAACCGATTAGGTATAACAGTTTTGAAATTAGAACATTGTAATACAGACGTCTTTGTGTTACTCAGATGCATGCACGAGTCAATGGACATTTACTCGGAGATGGCATCCCTGGAAACAAGCGAGCTGGTCAACTCGGCGTTCGGCGGGCGTTACTGCGGGCCCATACCGCCGCGCCGCCGCGTCTCACTGCACCGCGCCGTCGCACTCTCCTTCTACACAGACAAAATGTACACGCCGCCTACACTCTTCACAGGAACCTACCAGTTCATCAACGCATGTAAGTCAATGCAGTAGTAATAGAAGAGAAAAGACAATCTGTAAGATTGGCACTCACGATGATAAAATCGTATGTTTTGTCTATTAGGCAGGTTATACCATGTACTTATTTAAAATAGGGAGAAACATCATTTAAAATACGTAAAATGCTAATATTGAGATATTTTTTAATAATTTGTTAATTTTTGTAGTTGTTGAACATCTGTACACATTTAGTTCATTAACAACATTGAAGTGCCCGTCAAAGTTGGTCGTCCCGCGTCCGCATAACTAATGTCCACAGTCCAGCAGTTGGTTCCGTCACAAGTTGTCACTTACTGATAACTTCAGACTAGTTTCTCTAGTGTTAGATTATATAATTATAAGACAAAGTTTTATACATAAGGAAAATACTTTTGGAGTGGTTTTATGTTGTATCGATATAGGCACACCGCACAAGTTTGATACGATAAAAATAAACAGTTTTAGGGAAACAAATGACAACATGTGGAAGCCCATTGTTTTTTTTTTCGATACAACTTACTTATTAATTAGTATCATATCACAAAGATACTTTTATTGCTTGGTTAGAATAAGTAACAATTTTCTATATTATTTTTCAACAGCGGAATTCGAAGTGGGCACCCCAGTTCCCAACACATTGTGTTCGTTCGTGATAGAGGCGAGCAAACGCAAGACAGGCCTGCTGCTCTCCCCGACGTACCCTGGCATCTACCCAAAGGACATGACCTGCAACTATCTGTTCAGCGGCCAGCCCGGACAAAGGATCCGACTCGAGTTCAGGGATTTCGATCTGTTTTTCGGCGGGCCACAGTGAGTACTTTTTTATTACAAGATTTTTTGATCTTAATTATTCATTGTAGAATAAGTACCTACTTATAGACACCGAAAATAACAAATGGATGTCGGTAAAGTTTATGACTCGGGTTTCTTTTTATGACAACAATCAAACGCGTGTTTAAATGACATGTAATTTTTAATTATGTTGGTGAATAATGTATAGCTTTTTCCTATTTTTGATTTTATATATTGTTATTGTTGGTGTTGGTTTGTATTGTATATTTGGTTTGGTTCTTAGCTGTCGCATTAGGGTACATGATGCCCTGTAATGATAGTTTAAGTGTTCTTAAATATAAATAAATAAATAAAAAAATAAAGAAAAGCCGCAGGCAGTTACTTTGCATACCTGACCTCTCTACTCTAGGCTGAGATCATCAGGCCAATGAAAATCAATCTCGTACTTTGGACTATTAGCAACATGAGTTTTCATTTTATATTAACTGGAGTTCTTTTATTCAGTTGTCCGTTCGACTGGGTGCGCGTGTACGACGGGCCAGACAACACGTCGGCAGTGATCGGCACGTACTGCGGCCAGCAGCGGAACCTGGTGCTGTACTCCAGCGACGAGCGGCTGCTGGTCACGTTCTACACGCTGCCGCGCGCCGCCAGCACACAGAACCGCGGCTTTAAGGGTATCTTCGAGTTTTCAGAAAGTTTTGTTAAGTTAGGTAAGTGGAATTTTCTATTTTAATAAACAAAAGTCTCTCAAAGCGGTATTTCCTTCTTTTCTTCGGCTATTTTTATACACATGTATATACATACATCTACCACATGGGACCTCAGTTCGCGTTTTGACTAAATTACTTCTTTTGACTCAAGTTAGAACAGCAATATACTGAACGAGCACATTGAAAACTTTGTAATTTATTACATCCGTACTTTACGTACAAAGAGTTTTTCCTTACTCAACAATCTTTGAGGGAAAGTTTTTTATTACTTTGGTCTATTGCTTTTCAGATTTTATAAGTAAACACGACGCCGAGCACATTAGGGGCTCAGAATGCGACCAGAAGATTCTAAGTAAAAAGGAATCGACAGGTTTCGTCTACCATCCAAATTATCCATTCCCTTATATACAAAAAGTTGTTTGTAGGTGAGTAAACTCCTACTCTTTGATGTGACGCATCACAACTTCAGAAACATCATTAACATAACAATGACTTTCTTTCAGATATTTTATATATGGTATGCAAGATTCACAAAATTTGGAAAGGGTTCGATTAGAGTTTCAGAACTTTTCTATTCCGAAGGGCGATAATCCAAAACCGGAGTGAGTATACAAATAAATAAGTACATTACTCTCAATGTTTCTATCCTTTAGGATGCTTTTCAGTATTTTGTTTTAAGTCTACCTTGCACAAGTTTAGAATTTTGAAGTTATCTCTATGATATTCCAGTTCTTGTCCTGATGGGTACCTGAAAGTATACCTGCGCGGGCAGGAGGCTACAGACTCGTACGACAAACATGACGCCGAGCTGTGCGGAGAGGGATCTGCAGGCAAACCTCCCTTCCCTCCGCCTTTACTCTCCGACGGGCCCCGCCTTGTGATGGTATTCAGCTCAGGAGAACTGCAAGGCAGGGGGTTCAAAGCCAAGTATACTTTCGAGACTGGTGAGTAAGAGTTCTGAGGAGAGTGAGGAGAAGTTCTTGTCAATTAATAGGGCTTTGAAGGAGAGACCACGCCTAGGCAAACGTAGTGAAGGACGCCTTATAGCATGGTGGACTATCTGGATGTAAAGAGCTGGAGATCAAGTTCAATGGCGTATGTTTAATGTTTATAGATCCTATGTTAAGCAGTTAAGAAGTTAAGAACTTTTATTACAATGTGCAGAAACTAAAGAATCATGTTACAGAATATCGAGTGCCGGGCACAGCGGCGCCGGGCGGCGAGTGTGCGTTCACGTATCGAAGCGAAGCAAAGAAGCGCGGCGAGTTCAACTCCCCCCGCTACCCCTCCAACTACCCCTCACACACCAACTGCACATACACGTTAGCTGCCAGCCCCAGTGAGCAAGTCACAGTGGTGTTCGACCACTTTAAAGTTAGGGCTGACGCCTGGAATGCGACTGCAGGCGTATACAGGTTAGTAATATGATGAATTTTGATAATATTTATGTAGCCTTATTTCATACCAACTAGAGGACTGATTATATCCAAATAGAGTTTAAGCTGTAACTAATCGAGGCTCTGGATTTTACAGTGGGGCAACATGCAGCGAAGACTGGGTGGAAGCGTGGTGGGTGGGTCGTGAAGGCGCACGAGTGCCACTAGGCAGGTGGTGTGGGCTGGCCACACCTGGCCCAATGCACTCGCCGCGCGGCGCCACTGGCCTCGTCATCGCGCTACACACAGATAGTGAGGCCGTCGCCTCTGGCTTCAAAGCTAGATATATTTTCGAGGTAATATCAATGTCTCAGACAAAATATAATAGCAGGTTCTTTAATATGAAACATGGTATCATTCTTTACTGGATCAATCTTTTTTTATCTTCAGCCAGCGAAGTCAATATTTGGCGACTGCGGCGGCAATATGTCCGGCGCAGAGTGGGGCGTGATCACGTCCCCCAACTTCCCGCAGAACTACGAGCAGCCCAAAAACGGACCGGCCTCCAGGGTCTGCAACTGGTTCGTTACGGCGCGCCCCGGGAAGAGACTCTTGCTCAATTTTGAATACTTCGCTGTCGAAGGACATCTTACTGGTTTGTATTGTTATAATATGACTATCCATTTCTCACACAGTTTTAAAACATCGCCTAAACTTTAGGAATATTATCTCATTTACTTTTATTAATAAAGTAAAGAAAAGCTATTTCGAAAAAGTCTTAATATGAATGTAATGGAACATTGCAGAGCGTGGATGTCCAGCGGCAGTTCTCAGGCTGTGGTACGAGAGCCCGGGTCCTCCGCTCGAGCTGTGTGGGGAGAAGGCACCCGGCGACCGCTGGCAGTACCTCTCCTCCTCCAACTCGATACGACTCTCGTAAGTTATTCTGATTGTCTTTGGATAGAAGTTTTTGGCTCGTTTACATAGATTAACTAAAATAATGGTTTGATGCTGATTCATTGGCTTAAGAAGGATTCTGTTAAGGGATCTGTTGAAGAGTTAGTGATGTATTTCGGCTTGGGCAGGTTTATAATAGCGGATAAGGCGGTGGGTGCGACGGGGTGGCGCGCCGTGTGGACGGAGGTGACGGTGCCGGAGAGCGGCGAGTGCGAGGAGGGCTCGCTGGACTGTGGCGGCGCGTGCCTGCCGGCCGGCGCGCGCTGCTCCGGCCTCAAGCACTGCGCACTCACGGCCGACACCAAGCCCACCCACTGTTAGTATGCACCGCTTCTACCGCAGAACTGATCCACGGCGACCGTCGTACGTACACCGCCCGGTACACGTCCAACCATCTGACGTCGAGGAATACTTGCTACTAAAAGTATTCGAATAATAATCGTAGACATTACTATCTTTATCGTACTTACATATCTAATGACTTTCTCTTCTAGGTGTCTAAAGGAAGTCCTCGTCTATCCTTATGTTATAATTTAGATTACGACTAAGTCTAAATTGAATAAGCTAAACTTTTTCCAAATTTTTAATTAATTTGAACTGACACTGTATATTACAATTGGCACTTTACCGCACTTTGCATTTCCACTTGATAAATGTATCTACACCGTTGCATTTTGTCGTTGCATTATAGGGGTTATAAATTAAAGTCTATAATTATAAATTATAACTATGATAATGTAGCTTGTTGAGAATACTTACGGAGTAAGCAGTATATGGACTACTGACCATCTTATTATTGTGCTTCCCTACTTGCTTGTATACTTGATACAAAGTGATATCGAGTAGAATGTCTCGAAATATCTTTTGTCTTCTCCACAGCCTCCACTCACTACACTACCTTCAAACATTAATTACTTACATTCCAATAAGTGAGAAAAAACTAGTATTAATTATTCGACAACAAAAGCGCATGAAACCTTTTTCCAAAATGAAGTAAAATAAAGAATCGTTATCATGGAAACACGAACCACCGAGAGATTCTACTCGTAACTATCCCGCCACTCAGCCGGTACCCACACTACCCAGACCCACGTATCGCTACATAACGTAACTGTAACGTAACTGAGCAGGGAGTCGCAACACGAAGCTTGTCGTACATTCGCTGCTTACTCCTGCTTTTATCTTCTAAATCGTTGTAAAATATTGTATTCTAAACACTGTAGCACTGTTTAACTAATAACTCTAAACAAATACAATAATGTTATGTTCACTGTACTTTCTCAGTATAAGGATGATTCAATGCAATCTTTGTCTCTAAGGAAGTTGTTACATGTACTCTAGGGATCTAGGTGTTTAGACACTTTCCATCATATAATTGTTGGTGAATTAGCAGAATATATTGAATATGTTGCAAAGATTACAGACTTTTTCATTTACATACCAAGGCTCCCCTTAGTATAATTTAAATCTAACTAGTTAAATGTTCTTCATGTTAACTCACTCTTGCATCCATAACTTCTACTCCATTTAAATACTCTATTTTTATTTTACTTTCTTCAAATACTGTGATGACTCAGGAGAGTTGCATCTCTGATCTGTCCTAAGTCTAAATTTTTATTATGTTTTTGATTGTTAGCATATTTTGTAATTTGTTGCAATTGATAAAGAAGTCACTCCAATGGGACAAAGCTTGCATTGAGTCATCGCACTATGGGGCCTGGGGTACCGCAACAACTGTTTCTAACAGAGCACTTTCTGGTGGAGTACTAGAGCTTCAATGAGTAGTTTGAAAACGTATCGTTTCTTAAACTTGATGATTGATGACTTCGTCAATGCTATTTAGTCGCGAAGTATTGAAGTTATTTCCGAAGGAAGGAGTACGAATATTAGTAGTAGGTCGGTCGTGTTCCACCAGAGAGTGTAGGGCCCTGGGCTGGTCTGACGGCGCGGTGTGCGCAGGCGGCGCGGCGCCGGGGCGGTTGGCGGCGCGCGCCGCTCTGGTCGCGCTGTCGCTTGTGCTCGCCGCCCCGCACTGACCGGGCGCTGCGCACGTGAGTCTATACTACCACCTTCATCCTCTCACCTCAAAGCTCCTAACTCCTGACTCCTTCTGTCTCCACCGTCATTGCCGCATCGAAAAGAGGGAAAACAGGTAGCAGCCAAATATTAATTAGGTACATATTTGGATACGCGAGTCAAAAACTACAAAGGCTAGTCTGTTTTCTTCTCTGCTACGCTGGTTTTATTTTAAAGATCAGAAAATATGCTCTTCGCAGTACCTACGGTTGATGCGGAAGTGGATTGTAAAAGTCGACGTTAATTTATTTGTATTCAGGTAATCGGCTTATTGATATAATTTGTGTCATTGTGATCCTGCTGTTATTATATATTTTGCGGCTTTCGTAAACACGTTTTGTATCTAGAACTCTTTTCTCTTATTTCGTAGAAAATCGAGTGTCTTCCGCCTTGCTACGCTTTGTCATGTGCTATCTCGATCCTGGATTAATTAATTGCCTTCACTATGAAAAACTTCTATCCTCTGAACAAGTAACTCAATGCTTCAGTGAATTTCACGCAGGTTACTTGGTAGATGCAAAAACGCCAGTTAAGTTTTCAGTCGCTTGACCACTGACATTAAACAGACCTTTGAGAGTACTTTGTATTTTGCCTTTCTTACATTTATTAAATACATAACCAAGAATCCTAATAAAACGTAGGTAATTGCATACTATAATGGCGAACATATAAAGAGACGTGCAGCTGTAATTGTAGCGGCCATCTTTTATTCTTTGTTACACATTTCATCCGTAAAATGGTATAAAATTGCCGTTTATTGGCGACCGGCCGGTTCGTTTAAAATACTGTGTTTGTTTGAAAACAAAATTGGATTACCTAGATGGCACCACAATCGGGTTTAGGAAAACATCATGACGAAAATATTTTTTTTCTACTCAATCTAATTGAAGAGTTTAGTTAAATAAAATGGCAATTAATTACATCCATGATTGCTTCACCACACATCACTCTCTGCTTCCCTATCTATTTTATAATATTTTATACTAAAACACTCTGTATGCATGTTGTAAAACTGTCTACCTAAACTATCAAAAATAAAAATTCAAAATAAACTTAAAAAATACTAAAAGAAAATAAGTTTTGCAATATTCACTGACATCATAGACGAGACGCATACTTTCACTTCTTCATTTACATCTTCTAATGCAGATATCTATCAGTATCGGGGCTGATTTGTTTCCAGTTAAAATTATTTTTTTCTGGTTTAACTAGTTGAACAACGATAGCTCTCGAATTAAAACTTTTATCTTTGAGTATTGCAAAGCTTCCAAAACAACCAAACACCTAAAGGACCGAGAGGTCGACTCCCCCAATCCGTTCCGACGTGGAAGTCGGATCGTATAATTAACACAATTTTTTTTTTAAAACAACAATTATCTTTCTTTGCAATAATTTGCTTTCCTTTGGACACGAATGCCAAACGAACATACTTTAATGTAATTTTATGAATAATTTATTTATTTTTATTCAACAACTCGTTAACTTGTGTGCCTGTGATGAACTCATCTACCTACCTATTTATCTAGGTGTTTAGATAAAGGGAAAAATATGGTATTATGCCATACTTTTCTTAAATTATTCTGAAATTATACGATCTCGCTTTCGCAATTTTATTCGTCGGCGTTCAAGCATTCTCAGATCCAGCGACAGTTTTAGAAGTTCGACAGATTAGTCAGGGAGTCGACCCGCCGGGTTCGAACGAGGTTGTAGGCGTAACGTATTCGTAGGCGGCGAGAGCGCAGTGACAGGCGGGTCCGGCAGCCTGGCGTGGTGGTGGGCCGTGTGCGGCGGCGGCGGCGGCGCGGTGGCGCTGGGCGCCTGGTGGATGCGGCGCGCGCGGCGGGTAATCTTTACCTGTGCCTATAATGCCGCCCCCGCGCCCCCCGCCGTTAGCGCGCCGCGCCCCCGCTGCCCGCCTCGCCGCGCCGCCCGCGCCCCCTGACACCGTATGACGACGCGCCCACGCCGCAACGGCGACGCACGCACCACTAAATAGTTGATTACACGACTTTAACGTATAATTTGTTTTATTACTCCTTTTACATTTTAAAGCAAAACAGAAAATGGTGTATCGAAGCTCTTTGGTTAAGTTGTTGGGCTATAGCTATTTATATTGAAAATAGGTCGGCGTTTGGCCAGTTTCTCGCCTGAACTCTTAACTCTTTATCTTTTAAACAAGGACGCTATCAAACATTATTAAAATACGCGGCGAAATACGATATTTTTTGTAGGCACCTAGGCTTTTGAGATTCGAATTGGGTGGTACTACGGAGAAAAAACCATTAACACAGTGTAAGTATGTAACTTCACCATAGTTCACCTCTTTTCATCGGCGAAAACGTCATTGAAGAGTCGCAGGTCGGGAACAAACGGGTTAAATAGAATTTGACGGTGAATCTCTTCCGCGTCCCTTCACCCGGTTACTGATATCATAATAACTTAGGTACCTACATAATTTATGTACTATGCATACATAGGTAACATCGCACCTTTCTATATGTTACCTGAAGAGGTAGACAGAGGTAGTTACACATTTTCAAGATGTAGCACAAACTGGCAGCAGGCATAGCAACGCGCGTGATTTCCTTTTTTGTGCAACAATCTATAAAGACTGTCGACTTCAAGAGGCGGTTTCAAGTTCGGTTTGGTAAAACTGAGGTGAACTAAGGGACCAAACTCGGCACTAGTTCCGATTCGGTTGCACACAGAAATAGGAGACCTGCGTATAGGTCAGGTAATCAAGATGGAGATGAAAGAGAAAAAGGAAACAAGCAAGATAATAAGGCAAACACAGTTTTGCAAATTTATTCCACATATTAAACTGATACAAGATTGATACAAGTCGAGTTCTAACAGTATGGACATGCTATGTGGTCGAATACAAAAAAAAAGTTTAGTACAGCAATAATAAACATTACAGAAATCCTGAACTTTACAATACTACTGCCTCACACTAATGTATTTTAAGGGAAATATGTAATAAAAATAAAGCAAAAAAAACTAAAGCAGGAACACAGTCGGGAAATGTTCGAGTACAGGGGGTGGTTTTATTTTAGCCGTAATCGCTAGTCGTCGGAGAGTTCAATTCATTCAAGAATCCGATTAAATTCATTCAAGTATCCTAAGTTGTAAGTATGTCAAAAAACAACAGTCAAACTCCTTACAATATAATAATTACTGCTAAAATACACATCACATCGCAAAATGCGTTCACAGGAATAAAATATATCGAATAACATGTATTAAAAAAAAACAGACAGTCGACGGGTCCGCGACCCAAGCGCACGGTCGCAAACAGGCAACCGCGGCCGTGCGCTCCCCTCAAATAAAGTATATATTAAATATATATACGGCTAATACGACAGTGAAAAACATAAGCATAACGGGAAACTTACAATCGAAACATTTCATAACGTCCTACTTTAAGATTTTTTCGGATCGATGCGATACAAAATCGAAAACTCGAAAATCAAATAAAAAAACACATATATAGAAAAAAGTAGAGCGATCCTCTCGGCACGCAGCGAGGACCGGACGTGAACGTATCCGCGGGCCGCGAGCGCGCGCGCGCAGCGGCCAGTGCATCCCCCGCGCAGCTTGTAGTGCCTCCCATGCGGGGGCCGGCCGCCCGCGGCGCCCGCGCCCGCGCTCCCCGCTCCCTACCCGCGCCCCTCGCGCTCCCCGCGCCCCCCGCGCCCCCCGCGCTAGCTGGCCAGCGGCTGCTGCTGCCAGCGCGCCGCCGCCCCAGCCCGCGCCCGCGCCGCACCCGCCCGCGCCCACCCGCCGCTTGCACTCCCCCCCGACGTTCTGGTGGCCCCCGTCGTGTTTACGTTTACCTAAGACATACAAAATTCTTTCAAGTCCAACTTCTATTAAATTTTCGCTCATTTTTCGTCAAGTGACGAATTACAAACAACACCACCTCGATTATAACTACTTAGCTGCTACTTGCTGAAGGGAAGGGTTGGTGATACACATAGGGAGTATTCACTATAGATTTTGTTATAAGAACTCGACCTTGTGACCCGTAAGGAATTTTATGACCACAACCGGCCTAAATCATGAAAGGTCTTCCACAAACTTCAGAAGGAAAAATGGACTCGTCACTCGATCGAGCTCTACAATTTTGGCCAAGTTTGTGGTAGCCCTAAGACTAGTAAGGACCGATATAGGAGAGGGATAGTTACCGATATAGAATGTATCGAAATCCAGATTTACACGCAAACCATCAAACATGCTGAAATAAAAGGATAAGGTTTCAGGATATTATTCAAGGGCAACGAGGTCGACCGAGAGAGAGTCCAATTTTCTTTCCATGGTAATTTAGAATTTTGCAGTGAGGTAAGTCAGGCAGGTTTTAGGTGAAGTGGAGGTAAGGAATTAATGTTTTCATTTACCTAAATGACGAGATCTCAAATATCTTAAGGCATTCTTTGATCTCAATTAAGTAAAGGAATATGGCAGGTTGTAGAGGTGTGCTAGTGTGGAATATGCATAGGTAGTATAGTATCCTTGCCTGGTACTGACCTGGTAAACTTGGCTTGGCGCGGGGATTGCCACGCATGGCGCTGGGCGTGCGGCGGCCACGCGCGACGCGGCGCGCACCACCACGGGCCCCAGCCGCGGGGGCCGGCGCCGCCGCGCGCCGCGCCCATCGCCCGCCCGTCCCACATGACCCAGCCTGCGCACAACCACCAGCTCACACCCGCGACACTACCACCCGCCTCCCCCGCACTCCTGCCGGCTCCCTACGACTCGGGGACCAGAGCTTGTCCATTACTACAAGTCGTAGGAAACCAGCAGGAACGTATTGGGGAGGAGGATGCTAAGGTGGTAAAATAAAAAAATATACAGCGACCGATTTCTGTTTCATAAAATGCTTATTGAGTTTGTTAAATTTAAGCCAAAATAAAAACCTAAGCACATTAAAATCAATTATTTACATCTGAAAATATACAAGCAGATCTATTACATGCTAGAGAGTATAAACTTGCATCGTTACTGATTTCCGTCGATCATTAATGTGCTCAAGATTTCATTGCAAACATATGTTCACTTAAAAGTACAGAAAATCGGTCCAAAATATTAAAAAAAAATACAAATACTATCATTTCAACTATAAAACTTCATGCAGTTTACTTGAAAAATAAATATCCAAAGTTTTACTTACTATACATAAATTATAGTTGAAACAATAATTTGAATAAATTACTATCATGCTGCAAAGTTTTTTTGCTATTTGCAATACAATGTATCTATCTCAAAATACCAGAATAAATATAATTTCACAATAAATAAATGTAAATACGCAACTTACAAACGCTGTTGAAGTAGTTGTGTAATATATCAAATAATCCGGTATTAGAGGATAACAACGTTTATGAGTCGCGTAACATATCAAAATACATAATTATATTGTGGGTTTCGAGATAAAAGTACCTGTGATGAGCTCACAAAACATGGTTAGTGCCAACGTCTCAAGCTATGTTACGAGAAAGAACACTTTTACCATGGAACGCCACACAATACCAAGTCGAAATAAATAAATCAAAGAAACAATCAGGTACCTACTGAAGCATTCTAATTCAATGAAACATTCAACAGTAACGCATTCCAGGATAGGGTGACGAATATCGTCATTTACTTTGCCTACACTTTTACTGAAAATGTATAACATCTACAACATTAACTAAGTGGGAGATATCGTCTAATCAAATCTAACATCGACATCCACTAACATCAAGATACAATTTGGAATAAAGTGAGCGCCAATCGGCGGTACCTGAATGCCTCCGGTTAGATCGTAGTAAAGCGAGTTGGGCCCGAGACCGAGCTCGTCGTCCTGAGTGAGGCATTTACCAAGCGGGTCAGTAAGTCTTCTCAACATATTCTCTACCTCGTTACAACAACGAGAAATTATACAACATTACTCGGGCGTTCCAAAGCTTCGGGGACACGCTACTTTCCTCGCCTACGGGATGTGTGCGGGTGGCAAAGCTCGGGCGTGTTATCGGTTAGTGATAAGCGAAGCAAAGCTCTACATGGGGGTGACAAGCGCGGCGGCATGACGTTAAGCGGTGCAAGTGTGAAATGGCAACTGAAAACAACAGGTACAGATGAGACGGGCATGTTAGTCGGAGTGGCCGCAGCCATATAGACCTGATGGTGAGATCGGCCGACGGCCACCCCGCGCCCACTAACACTTTTCCCGGCAATCAGTGACAAGTCGGAGGCCCCGCCCGCCCAGTGCAATCACCACCGTCAGGCCTACACACTACCGTCTTTACCGAGTCACTAACTCCGTTCGAGGATGGGATTAAACAAAAATAAAAATAAAAACAGTAGATGATAAAAATTTGGCAAATCAAATCGATAGAACAATAATGAGTACAGCGACTAGTGACTAGTAAATAAGAGTGATACATTAGTGAGTGTGTGTGGGACCCACCGGTTGCGGTCTGTTGGGAGGCTGGCGGACGGCGGACGGTTGCGGTGGCCCCGCGTAATCAAAATAGAACTCATCGTACCGGTAAAATGGCTCATTGTAGCCACCTCGGTAATCACCGTACCCGTAATAGTCGTAATCATAATCTATAAACACACAACACAGGCCTTTTAGAGGCTAAGCTAAACTAACTCTAACTTACAAGCTACCGATGTCGGCTGGCGCATAGCGAGCCTCCACGACACTCGTACCGGGAAAAGATTACAAGTAACACATGCTGTCGTCACTTTACACGGGGTTCAGTACAGGTATGTATGGAACAGCACACGGGTTAAATCCAACACCTCTGCTCCTCCGTAGCGGTCACACCTCGGTACGGACCGATCAAGCAGCTTCACGGTATCGACACACGGAACAACATGCATCGTGATATGTCTAACTGTTCATGTCCATTGTCTGATGAATAAAACTGTTTATGAATTTTTTATTGAGATAATGACTATGTTGATTGTCACGACCCACCACCAGAACCTACCTAAGCATAGTTACGTGTTCAGGCTCCAGCGGGGCCGACGCCTGAACACTCACAATGACTTCAGATCGTAGCATGCACTGTCTGTTAATATTGTTATTACACTTTATATGGACCATGTGTAGCCCTCGACTATCTTTGATAGATCGAAAGTTTTCCGAAACCATGCATCGAACCTAATCCTAGCTGTCATTAATAACTAGCCTAGGTAGTAGCGTTAATGAAACATGTACTGAGGCCTTAACGATACACTATAAACTCCCAAACTTTTATTATTTACGGGCGGCAATGAACCACCCACCTGGCAACACCCGGGGAAGTCCCGGGCTGAGTGTATAGTAGCGGCCATCTTGTTAGTAAGGGACAGTAGCGGATTGTGCGAGTGTGCGCGTGGAGACCACACCGTGTTCACATCTCTGTTCGTGTGAGGGATCGCGAGCTAGGTGGAGGGAGTCTGTACTTTATTATATCTTGCAGTACGATCCCGCGGTACTTTGTACAATCAATGTACTTCTCTAGTTCCCTTCACCTATCTCTGTGTGCTGTCACTTTGTACTGTTTATTGGTACGACGAAGGCTCGGTGAATTCCTTCACGTTTCACATGTATGGGACAACAATCATACGTACACATCATATTACGTAACATATTGTATTACAATTTAGAGTCGAGGGTTTGTGTAAGGAGAGGGCCGAGCGTCCGCGTCCGGTCGGTGTGTGTGTGTGTGTGTGTGTGTGTGGAGTGTGTGTGTGTGTGTGTGTCGGTATACTGACCGTAGTCGCCGCGCGCCTGGGGCGGGCGCGGCTGCGGCTGCGGGGTGCGGCCGCGCAGTACCGGCGAGCAGCTGCACCAATCGAATCTGACAGTTAACACCCGACGTTACATACATCGTGAGCGTGCCTAGCCAGCCTCGGTAAACTCTCAAACCTAGCCCCGCTGCACTTACACACACGCCCCCCTCCGTCTCGCCACCTGTTCCCTTACAAGCGCGGTGAAACATGTCGCCCTGTTGCTGTTGCTTGTTCGTCCTTTGCTCAAAGCTTGCAACGCCATTAGATTATTTTACTAAGGCAGTCACATACTTTTAAGTAGTCTGTATCTTTTTTGCAATCCTTTTTATGTCATCAAAAACCAGCAAGGACTGTTAAATTTAAAAAAAAGTCTACAAATATTAACATTTGGAATCATACAGTTACAAAGTTGCGACAAGTTTATTCATCCATCTGTGTGTGAAGCGCGCGTTACCATCAACATGTATTGCCATTCAAACTACATTTTACAACGTATTCATTCATGCTACAATTATTTGCAACAATGTTAATCTGTAACTCACATTAATGTATCGAGTACGTACTTGTTTCATTACAATTGTTAGGTATAACAATTGTTAGGTATAACAATTGTAATTTATGACTATTTTATTCTTGATAGTTTTTAGTTCAAAGAATTTTCCTTTTTATTTACATTGAGATATTTTTATGAAATCGGTAAATTATCTCTTAAACATTTCAAGGAAATTGAATGGGCATAGATGCTGATGTTCGGGCTTTGTTTTTCACTTATGAATTTTGATAATTGCTTTATTTTTCTCGTTGGAATAACTCGTGCAGATACAAGTTCCAACCACCCTGTTTGATGGTTTACTGAGGCATAATTAAGATTAACATCTTCGCAAATTGAAAATTAATATTTAAACAATTAAGTTATAATCTTAATCTGAGATGTATCTTTAACAAAATGTACGTCGGGGATAGTAGAACAAATAATTAAAAATAATTATTTTACAGAGGAACCAGGAAACAAATATCAAGTATATTCATTTTGACTAAGAGACAACTTTTATTGCTCAACTCTCATGAGACACTGTTTGACGAGTTAACATGACTAGTTTCAAGCCACGCTAGGAGCTTATAAGCAGTTTAACTCGTCGAGTACCGGTTTTGTAGACACAATTATAGAACAATAGGTTGCGGTCACCGGTGACCGCTTGGTGATTGACAGTTTAAACAGAGAATCAATCAACATTTTAGTGAAGTTTAATAGGTTTTTCTCGTCTCTTAGAGCAAAATGAGTTGACCTAATTTGTTTGTTGGTTCCTCAAGAGTTAGTAAAAGGTTACGAACTTACCCGCCGCGGCCATGGATCATCTGCATCATACGTCGTTCGCGAGCGCGCAGTATTTCTTCTTTCTTCTTCTTGTCGGACGGCGGCTTGGCTAGCGACACTTCCAGTCGCGCACCACCCATTTCTTTACCGTCTAGCTCTTGCATCGCCTGGAAATTTGAGGAGCAGATCTGATTTTTCGTATTTGTCTATCAAACTTTGTTATAAGAATAAAAACCGTTCTATTTCGGAAGTATGTTAAACCATTTGCGAATTTTGTTAGTCCTTTCATGAAAGCAGAACTAAGAAACAATAGTTTTAAACAGTTTTTCTATTCTCTATGAAGTATGTATCAACTTTAGTACTGTATGGCACACCTTTACTGCACAGTCCCGGTCCTCAAAATGCACGAACGCGTAATCCTTAATCTTCTTGACGCGCTCTACAGTGCCGTAGCGCTCGAACTCTTCCTTCAGCGCGTCTTCAGTTATCTCTTGCGTCAGGTTGCGCGCGTACAACACCTTCACCTGTCACGTCACACAGCTATACTACTGCAATCTATGCTAGTTTAGATGGCTGCACTATTGCAGCATAATACTCACAAATGGAAAATTTGGGCACTTACTTTGCTCATTGTTTGCTCGTCAGGTTCCTCTTGAGGGTCCGCCCAATCCACTATTATATCACAGCCCCATACCTGCTCGAATTATAAACAAACATAACATTACACTAACGCTCGGCTCTGACGGCACCAACAAATGGTACATCGCGAGAAGTGTCAGAATTAACATTTACCTTTATTCTACCAGTTCCAAGTCTACGTTTAGCTAGTGATGCCGCTTTGTGAGACTCGTATTCCAAAAAACAAAATCCTCTATTTTTCTTCTTGTCATCGGGCGAACTATATATTATAACTTCGACGAGCCCAGCTGCAATCATAAAATATGGATAAGGACCAGGAAGCGGGGCGCAGGCACGCTAACGGTATGAACAAAGCTTCCCTCGAGCCCGACGCGCAAAAGTCAGTCATTCAACGCTACAGAATATGAAGCAAATCAAACAATATTCCAGGAGAACATATACGGTACTGAAGAATTCTATTCTAGAGAACAACAGCAAGGTTCTCCAGTCATGACCAGTGAGCATTCTCGAGGCAAAGGCCAATCAAAGGTACGGTCGGCGGGCCGCGGGCCACGGCGCCGCGCGTGCCGGGGCCCCGGGGC